GACGAGAAGAACGGTACCCCTTGCCACCAGCGCAAGGTTCACCACATCCTCCGAATTACTGGGCCAGAATGGACCAGGCAAGACGCGCGCGGTCCAGGAGCTCGCTTGCAAGGCGGCGAACCACATCTGGTCGGAAGAGAGCAAAGCCAGTCCGAGTCTCGCCGCGGCGGCGTGATCTTACACTCGGGCCATGAACATCTCGACAGCGGACGTGGGCGCCACGACGATTCACGGAGCTGGAGGCATGGTCGCGCAGAGGCAGACGAACGAGAAGACGCGGCCGAGCGCTACGAAGATCGAGAAACCCGAAGCAGCGACGGCGCCAAGCGCGCTTGTCATGGAGGAGATCAGCATGACATATGATGCCCTCTACACCATGCTTGACTTCAGGAGCACGTTCGGCAGGAACCAGGAGTTCGCCATGGACGAGTCCAACAAAGGGAAGGACCACCACAACTTAGGGCGAGTCCCCATCGCCATTCACCTGGGCGATCTCCTTCAGCTCACCCCGACGAACACCATCGGGCTCATCGGGGACGTCCAAGAGGAAGACGAGGACGGCAACTACAAGTTGGATGCGCCTCCGAGCGCGAAAGCGCAGCACGCCGTCAAAGCGTTTGGCAATGTGCCCCGCGCGACCGAGCTGAAGGGCGCAAAGCGATTCAAGCATGGCGACCCGCTGATCGAGCTCCTCGCCTGCATGCGCTTCGCGCGACGGATTCCAAAACCCGTCTGGGCCGCCATCCAGGCTCGGGTCGCCACCGACTGCACGGCCGGAGTGAGGAGCCCGAAGTGAGACGAGCAAAAGTTTGCGACCCGATTCGGAATGGCCTGGTGCTGGAGCACACTGTGCCGATGGATATCTCGCCGAAGAATGATCGACCCTCGCGCCCCGGGCGCGCCGCTGGTTTTCCTGCAGTCGAAGGACGAGGGCGTCGCCTGCAGCACACCGCAAAAAAAAATGCTGATGTTGCAACGGGCTGCTGAACGTGCCGAACCCTGGCGACGCGGGGCACACGCGCGGAGTTCTTCCCGCGCACGTGGGCATGGAGCCGAGATTCGCCGTCAAGGCGCCCAAGCGCAAGAGCTTGATCCAGGAGCAAAAGGCCACCATCGCGAGCTTCGCGTTCGAAAGCGGCGGCCAGGACAAGCACGACGCCTGCGCTCCGGGAGAGATCTTCCGCCCGCGCTGTCTGAAAATTGATGCAGGTGCATAAGTTCGCGAAGCAGAGCCCGGACGCGGTGGAGGCCCTCGTCAACTCTTTCGGTATCCAGGACGAGAAAGCGAACGGCCTGTTCTGCTCCCCGCTAGTGGACGCGCACCTCAAGTGGCAAAGCGCCAACGCTGCGCACTGGGTCAAAAGGTTGAAGCGCGCGCTCACGCACGGGCGCTTCCTGGCACCCACCGCGTCACAAGGCCAGACGAACCGCACCAGGGTGACCATCGACTGCGCGCGGGACGCGAGCATTGGGAGACTGGAGGGAAAAGCGAAGAACTGGTGGCTGCACTTGTACGCGATGCTCAGCAGAGCCACTTGCACGGACGATATGCCTTTACGTACTTCGGCCGCCACCGAGGGAGGTCCTGCAGAAACGCCCGCTTCCATTCGTGCTCAAAGCCCTCCAGAAGTTCGATGAGCGCATGGCCACGGAAACGCAGAAGATCGAGGACATCGCCCTGGAACGCCAATACATCTTGCCGGCGGCGTGAGGTCGCTGGAATGTACGGGCGCCGGAATCTTTCCGACAAAGGCAACGCTGTCCAGCCGCATCGAACTCGCGCGGCCCACGCCGCTCCTTGACGATTTCGGAGCGCCCGCCCAGCCTTTGTCACCGTGGCAACCGCAGCCCAGAGATTTCCCATCGAAGGGCACTCACAGGTTTCACGCAGGCGGGTTATATTTGCTATGCAAGTCCTTCGCGCGCGCAGCTCAGCAGTTCTCTGTCGAAGACACGCGGGGACGGACCTGGGAATTGCATGCAACAAATAAGGACATGTAGGCCGACCTACGTGAGAAAGGGAAACAGGGGTGCGGGAGAATGCAGCATGAGGGGAGGGAGGAGGAACCACTCGAGAGGCCCCCGAGAACGGTTGCGCAAGGGGTTTGATTTGCAGCAACCTCCACAGTGGCCCCCTGAGTAACCGCGATGTGGCAGATCGTCTTGCATGACCTTATTGCTTGTTGTCGCCCGAGGAAACGGCCTTCGGCGACCACTTCGAATCGTTCCCCGATGGAAGATAGAAGGCGAGGAAAAAGGAGGAGGTTCAAACAATGGTGTGCTGCATGACAAATAAAGAAGCATCTGCAACGAGGTTTCACAACGCAGGATTGCGCATAGATGATGGTGATAAGCAATCACATAAGTTACATTAAATGTGTGGGGGTCCTCGATAGCATAATTCAAGTGGGGCCTTCGAACATGTAGTGCGCAGGAATCAGGGGGGGGCCTAAGAAGCGTGCAGGGGGCTCTTGGGAGGCAGCTTGGAGGCCGCTGGGGTCTGTTTGGGTGCCTCTTGAGGCCACTTTTGGGCCTCTTCCAGGCTCTTGGCGGCCTCTTCAGGCTCTTTGGGGGACTCTTGGGGCCTCCTGGGGGCTTTTTGGATCGGAAAGATTGGACTCTCGATTTGCGTTCCCCTTGTTGGGCGGCTTTTCGGGACATATCGGGACTCTCTTGGGCTGCCTCGGGGGCCTTGGCCCGTCTTGGAGCCGTCTTGGGGGCTCTTGGGCGGTATAAGGGCGATCCTGGGGGTCTTTCTCGACCGTCTTGGAGCGTTGGAAACTCGAAAACGCGAGAAGGCTTTTTTATTTAGATATATAATACAAACATAAAATAACCATTTTCAAGCAAACAATATTCGGGCGCTCCCAGGACGCATCTGGGAGCTCTCTTGGGGCCTCTTGGAAGCCGCCCAGGAGCCTGGAGAGCCGTCAGCTGTCTGTTTTCGGCTGCTTGGGAGCGTGTCTTGGGCCGTCCTTTCGCGTTCTGGGGGCTGCTTGGGGGCGTCTTGGGCTGTCCTGGGGCGTTTTGGCCTCCCTGGGAGGCCCGGGGGCGCGGCAACCGGGGGTGCCCCTAGATGTCACGGAGGTGTGGGACGCTCCAGGGGGCGGGGGGGCATATTTGTTTATATTAGTGTAAACCCAAGAGAGACATCAAGGATGCTGGAATAAACCCTCCATCCAAGCTCCCTTTCTCATTGGCACCCACAACGGTTCATTTCCACTGAGAGAATTGCCTCGTTGGAAGACACCCGTTTGAAAACCCTGAACATTCCAAAACATTGTTATCGGGATTTCAACGCCACGGATCAGCCTGACTGTTTCGTCTTAACGATCGTGAACCGCGCCTGAACGCCATTCCTGGGACTTAAGCATTTCGAACCAACGTAACTGTTGCACCCTCATAATCCTGGACCCTTCCAAAACACCATGTCTGGTACGCTGATCATGGGAATCCGTGAAACTCTAGCAAACTGTTTGAACGAATGTGCGCGGCGCTACGGCGAAACCCACATTCTGAAAAAAGGAACCGCCCTAAATCCGAGAAACTCTTGCAAATTGTTAGAACGAATGCGCGAGGCGCCTAGGCGAGAGCCACACCCAGAAAACGGCCCGCCCTCAATCCGCAAAATGTCTGCAACTGTTGCGAACGAATGTGCGCGGCGCTACGGTGAGAGCCACATGTTGAAAGCGACCCGCCCTCAATGCGTGAAACTCCTGCAAAAGTTTAAAACGAATGTGCGCGGCGCTAATGCGAGAGCATCATTTCGAAAACGCGTCGTCCTCAATCCGTGAAACTCTTGCAATGTGTGAAACGGATGTACGCGGCGCTAAAACGAGAGCCACATTTGGAAAAACGAGCCGCCCTCCATCTGTAAAACTGTTGCCACTTTTTAAGCTCCAAGGACATGAATGGTGAAGAAGTCTCAGGCGAAACGCCCAGCCCGCCCTAAACGCTGGCGTCGGGGTACGACAAAGGGGGAAGTTAACTATAAAGAAAAATTGGAGGAGGAGGAGGAATGCCCCACAATCTGCACACCAACCGACGTTGCCCCGCCGAGAGCCACATGCTGTGGGGAGCGGCGGGCCTATGTCGGACAACGCGGAAGGGGGTTCCCCGCACGGATACAAGGAAACACAAGTGCGGGATCCTTCCGCCCTCCCTCCTCCCTTCCCTCTCAAAGAGGTGCGGTTCAAGCTCAGATGGCGATCAAGTGGCAACATGACTCTCCTTTTCCTCCTCCCAACCCTCCTGGAGGTCCGCGCGGACTTCTTGGATCGGCGCTAGACCCCTCCCTAGGCGCGCGGAGCGCGCCAGCGCCGCCAGGGCGGCCCCAGCGCCGATCCAAGAAATCCGCGCGGACCGTCGAAAGTTCGTGTTTGTTCTGCTCGTTCTTTTTCGAGGGATCCTCCCTCGCCCCTCGCCTCCCCTCCCCTCAAAGGTTCCCGCCCTCCCTCCCCTCCCGTCCCCTCCCCACTCGGGCTCCCTCCCTCCCTCCCCATCACCCCCCCTCCCCTCCACAAAGGTGACCCCTTGTGTATCTGAGGTGGCAGAGTGACGCCCAAGGGGCAAAGAGCCTGCGGCGCGGCGCGGCAGCCCAAAGCAAGAAGGTCTATGTGCTGGACGGTGGTTGCTTCGCCTCCCCATGTCTCGGTGGCGACACACCCCAGCATGATTGGCAATTGGCGAATCTTGTCGAATCCCTCCCTCCCTCCCTCCTGGCGCTGGAAAAGAAGAGGCTCCCTCCCCTCCGTTTCGTTTGCACTGCTTCAGGGGAGTGCCTGGAGACAGAGATGCATCAAGGAAAAGTCAGCCAGTACGATTGGGCGACACATGCGTGTGAAAAGGTGCCACCTGTACCAACGACGGCTCGGCATGGCCTGTCAGAGAGGCGCCTGCTCAGACTCACGAGTTGCTCGCTCCCCTCCCCTCCCCCCCCCTCCCCTCCCTCCCTCCATCCCGTACTTCCCCCTTCCCACACGGGGGGGCAACCGCGACGC